ATCTTGTAGACGAAGCAGAAGAAGAGTTGAAACTCAGTTATTCCTTTCAGTTTATTTTCGTAGCATTTCCTTTTCCGCCTGATCATTGTATTTTATATTCTCCAGTATTTCATTCAGATAGTTTGTATAAGGGCATGTTTGGCCTGAATATTATGTCTGGATGATCATTTCAGTTGTGATATGTATCTTTTGGTTCTGAGTTGTTTATTATATTCTCATTACTGTGATCGGGGACATGTGCCTTCGTTTGTATTTCTTGACGCTTAGCGTATTAGATTGAGAAGACGGGGTCTAGCACTTATCTCTTCTCAGTTTAATACGTCGCGGGCTTGCTCGCGTCCCGATTCCCTGGTATTATGGGAAGCGGGGCGTGACAAATTTTTATGTTGATAGTTGAATTGACAGAAGATAAATATAATCTAAAGCCAATTAAAATTTTTATTTTATTTGGATCGGCATGAAACCGATCTTGACATGAGGAAATATAGTGTTATGAAAGTGAAAACAGTTGAAAAAAATAACATTATAAAAGGAAGATGAATAATAAATCCAACGAGCCAAGATGATTGATTTAAAGTGAGCTAAAATGATAAAAAATAGTTAATGAAAAAATCATAAACTTAAGATTAATGCTAACTCTAGTACATTTTTATATGATAAAAACATCCACATATACGAAAGCACTAAAAATAGTTTATGAAAATCCATTCTAAAGATTCCTAATTTTTACTAAAAAAATAAAACTATTCTATAACAATTCACAAAACATTATCTTTTGTTGCTTCTATTTTATTTTTAATTGATTCAAGATCAATCCTTCTTTATCTTTATTTTTTCATGGGCAATTCGTCTTCATCGCCTACATCGATTGTGATATGAGACTGGAGCATGTTATATATCTTTTTTTGGACTCATTCATCTCTTCTCGTCTAAATTCACAAAGAAGTTGAATATATTTCTTATATTCGACACAAAGTTCTGATAATACGGACTTTGATTTTTTCTAATTTTAATAAGAATAAATGCTAATTTCATATATATGAATTTTTTTGTGATTTTAATTTATTACTTAAATAAGGTTAGGAGCTACATCTATTTTCTCTGCAATGAATTCTTCTATTGTGCATCCAATAAGAATTTTTGTTGTGTCATAATGACACATTTGCTTTGTATGTGTCATTTTCCATGAGAAAATAAACTAAATATATTAAATTTTTATTGTCAATTTGCTTTAGATTATAATATTAATATTTAATTTTGATATATTTATTTAATGAAGAAGGGATATCACTTAATCTTGGTACTACATCAGCGATTTTACAACATTTATCATCTAGACACTTATTATTAACATCTCTATCCACTTGTTGCAGTCTTTGCAAACATAGAACCACTGCTCAATTCTATTATAAATGGTAGTTATCGTTGCCTTAAAGGTGCGATAGTGTGTCTGTATATTGGTAACTTATTCTTAGGTTTAATTGTATGAGTTTTAGAGTAGGTTTTTTAAGATCATACCTCTTTCGAATTTTATAATGGTTGTATATATTAGTAATTTGAATTTCTTATGCATTTATAAAGAGCTTTAATAAAGATGCTTTTGTCTTGGCAGCTTACTCTAAAAGATCGCTGCATATTAGCTTTAAAATATAATATTTTTTTTCTTTACGGTGTTATATGGATGTTTGCTTAGTTTACTTACTATTCTTTTATTTTTTCAGTAAATTGTATCTTTGGATTGATATATATTATTTACACAATTTATAATGATATGCATATCTCTTCTATAGATTTGAAACAGATATAAGGTGAATTTTATATTTAGTGGCATTTAATAAGAATTTTAATAATGAAATACACTACCTTTATATTTAGAGATCTTGAATTCTAATAGTGCTATTACATCATTATCTTTGATCGTGTCTTTAAGAATTGATCATTCGTTAGTGGTCATACCTCTAAATAAAGTCACACGTGGTCGTGATACTATATCAGAAAAAGAAAAAAGGTCAATTTTATATTTTTTTGCTTAGGTAGAGTCATGACATAGTAATTTTTCTTTTATCTTCCATGAAGAATGTTTCTTTAATTGGAACAAAGTTGTGTAATATATTCTTCAAGGGGTATTCTGTCGGTGTTTCTTTGATAAATATAACTTATGTTAGTGTTAATTGAAGTGATCTATGGACGTTTTAAATTCCATTTGAAATGAAAACTACTTGATTCTTTTGAATGATGTCTCTAAATTTTCTAATAGTTCTCCATACATAAATCTTTATAATTTTTTACCCTATAACATATTATTACCATTAGAGATCAATATTTATAAATTATAATCAATTAATATTAAGCTATTATATTATAATATTTTATTAGTTTATTGTGATTTAGTCTTCTATCAATTAATGATACTTATGTATTTTTGCTGCTCTTAACATATTGGTAAAATTATATGCATGTACTTTAATTTATATAACATTAATTTTTAATCTATTATATATTTTTTAAAATTTTTATTCTTTAACTTGATATTTTAATTTGTTATTATTACTATTTATTTTACCAGTATCAACTTGACTATTTTCAGATTCTGAAAAGGAATAGTAAACTTAAAATTATAAGTTATATTTATATATCTTAATGAAAGAATATCACACAATTACTCTTTTCTTTGCCAAGTTCTAAATTTTCAGCTTTTAATTTCTATAATTTTAAACTTTTGAGAGTATTTTGTCTAATTTTTAAAACTTTTTTCTTTTTCTGGTAATACTTCATGTAATAAACTGATACTATATTTTATTAATCTTATTTAAATTGTTGAGCTATAGATAGTTCATGTGGTATTAAGATAGAATATGAGTATGATTAAGATAGATTATAATTTAAATTAAATATTTAAAATAGTACAGGGTAATTTTGATTATGAAAAGCTTTTCTCGAACTCGTTCTTTTAAAGGTAGTATGTTTTTTTATTTTGCTTATTTTTTTTAAAAATAATTTTGAGAATGTCTTTTGTCTCTTTAATATGTTTGGTGGATTTTGTAAATATTCCATTCACATTATGTATATTTTTAGGTCTATGTTATTCCCGGGTTCGACATTTGAGGTAGACATTATTTGTCTCATTAATTTATCTGGTTTTTGCATACATGCCCTTTATTTTGTAGACATTTATAAATTTGGCATTAAATAATTTTATTTCGTGTTACATTTCAATTTTAAATTGTATCCTTATCTTTACTATGTATATCCAATAAGAATTCAATAATTTATCAACTTACTCTTAATTAATGGAATAATATTTAAATTTCAAGGGTATTTTTATCTATCGAAAGATTTTTCCGAACTCGTGCTTTTAATGGGAGTATGATATATATATATATATATATATAGACACACACATAAGAATCGTCGTCTGTATGGATAGTACTTACGGTCAATCTGGAGATATGATCTCTTCTTTTTTTTTTGAAAGATAAAAAGGAGCTTTTGCATTACAAATCAAATCGTGAGGTAATTAATTAAAAAGCCTTTGCACAATAGTCATTGCTGTCTTCTTCCTTGTCGTCGGAGACATCTCCATCTTCTTGTTCCAATCGCATTATCATCCAAATTAACTCAATTCTATATATAAACCAATTAATAGCCTGATAACCTAAGCAAAGATTTTATTTGAGAGTTTGATCGTTAAAACCCTAACATCGTTGGATAGAGTACGGATCCTACAAATTAGTCTGCCTTTATTGAACTCAGTTATCAAACCTAAGCAATCCTAATTCATAATCTTACAATAAGAAAAAAAAAACTATGTATAAATGAATTGTCCAAGGGTAAGTGTCACAAAACACCTTTAGGTTTGGGCATTTTTCAGATAACTCGTTAACTTTCAAAATATCACAAATCCCGTTAAAGATTGTCAGAAAGCCCCCTATCTAATGGTGTTAGTGTTACTTTCTAAATTTCGTTCTTAGTTAAGGTGGGCTTCTTTATGCCCCCCTTAAGTGTGGTCATTCCTGAGATAACCCTCTTAGCTTTCAAAATTATGATATAAAATTCCCTTCTAAGCACTCTTAAGAAACCCCCAAATTAACACTACTAATGTGGTTTGCTAAAAAGAACTAAAAGTTGAAGAGGGTTTTCTAAAAATACCGAAACATGTAGGGGTTTGTGTTGAAAGTTAAAGGGCTGCATGAGAAACACCTAAAGTTAGGGGGTTTCGCGAAATTACCACTTTCTTTTTTTTTCACAATGGAAAATGCAAGACTTTCAATACTTTAAACAACTTACCTCATTGCGGATAAATTCCAACACAACATGGCAGAACTTCTTCAATCCGTATAGAAGGTTTTTTTGGGCATAACCCGTTTATCCTTTGCATGAGTTTTTTTGGGCATCTTAAGAAAGTTAAACATCTAAATCCAAACACCAGCACCCCCCCCACAAAAAAAAAAAAAAAAAAAAAAAAAAACAAAAAAAAAAAAAAAAAAAAGAAGAAGAAGAAGAAGAAGAAGAAGAAAACGACCAACCTAAAAAAGAACACTGAACAAAAAAAACTTTGAATTTTTTTTAAAAAAATATCTAAAACAATACATGTTAGTATTGTAGCTTTTGTAGCGATGAACCGTAAAACTTACTACAAAAATTAACATTTTTTATGGAAGGGATATAGACAAGGTAGTACAATATTAGTAATATTATCTTTTATAATCGCAGTGGCTGGTTCGAATAGGGATGGGTGTGGGCCGAGCCTGCTTCTCTGATCCCGGATTTAGGACTAGACCAAGTCCCGCCCATAGCCCATGGGCCGTGGGTCAAACAATATGCACGGGGTGCATTTAAGGAAAAGAATAATCCGGATCCGACTCCAATCATTATCGGGTAGCCTTACTATTCGTGTTGATACTCAAGTAGATCTCTCCGATCCGACCCGACCCGACCCGACCCGACTAGGACCCGCTGTATTTATACGCAATCTCGACTCTCGAATCTTCGATAACACCCAATCTCTCTCTTCCCGAAATAGAGAGAGCCCAAAATCGCAGCGAGCTCGATATAGAGAGAGGAAAACCCTAGAAATAGGCGACTTTGAACCCCCCTTAATTTCTGTAAAAAAAAAATCTCTCCTTTTCTTCTCCTTCCATCTTCGATCTTCTTCTGTTCTTTTCTTCTTATTTTTGCTCTTTTTTCTATAATTTTCTGGTTTATTTCAGGGCGAATAGCGATGGATTCGGTGCATTGCGGAGGGACGAACCGATTCTTCTGAGAATTTGTTATTTGATTGGAATTTCCGTTCTAATTCCTGCTTTTTTTCTGTGCTTGTTCTGAAACTAGGGTTAGGGCTTTTGCTCCGGCCTCAATCCTCCCAGCGTGGGCTTCAAGTGCGGTTCGCGGTTAGTCTTTTTTGGGGTTTCTTGAAAAGTTATTAAATATATTGAAGGTTTTTTATTTTGATCCGATCGTTAAAATGTTTATACGATCGTTTAGGGTTTGAAAGTAGGCATTTAGGGTTTTATTCTTTTGTTGGCACATTAGGGTTTTATGACATTATTGTGTTATTTGTTCGTTTTGCACCTTTAGGAGATGACCCAGATTGCTTGAGGAGCCTGTTGAATAAATGCTGCGATTTCCCCCTTTATTTATGTGCGATTTTCGCTGTTAATTAATTTAATTTAATTTTTCTATGTGTTGTGAAGTTAATGTAGAATTTTTAATCCTTATCTGTTTAATATGAAGGTTAGTGTAGAGTTATCTGTGTTGACTTAAAACCCTATAAAAATGATAGGAATTGTACAAATTGTTGGTACTTTTATCTAAATGATTCAATGAGCTGTGGAGTTCCTTGTACTGCCTTTTTTATCTTCAAGTGCCAGACTATGGTTGAAATGAGCTTTAGGTTTTGACAGTAACAGAATTAGACCCTTTTGTGGGGTTTTAGATGCAAGGAGTTGAAATATATACAATTTAATGAAGTTTGGTTTCACAAAAATCCAATTTAATGTCATAGGATTTATCCTTGGTCGTTTTGATATATTCCAACAAAGTTGCAATCATGTTGTTGGGAACTTACTTTTGGCAGTGCACAGTTTTCTCTTGTTTATAGGCCTTTAGAAATACCAAATGTTCATTTAATAATTTTGATTTTCACGTAAATAAGGCACATGATTTGTTTTTTATTATGTTTATGGTATTTTGATGTAATAAATTATATACTTGCATACATGAACACGCGCAAACATATTCATTCATTTTTAACTTTTATTGCTTGGACTGACTAATTCCTTTAAACTTATATTTTTAGGGTTGTGAGACTTGTGACTATAAACCTTGGCTTGTGAAACACACTAAAAGGATGTCCAGTCCATATTCAGTTCTCAACAACCGTCCTGTTGATCAATGGAAGGTCACTGAGTTAAGAGAAGAGCTTCGAAGGCGGAGGTTGAAAACAAATGGTCTAAAGGAGGAGCTGGTGAAGCGGTTGGATGGAGCTCTTCGCCTTGAGATGGAAGAAGCTGAGAAAGAAGAGTTGGGTAATGAATCAATTCCTGATAATGATCTTGTACACGAAGTTGATAAAGAGGAACTAGAAAAGCCTGCACTAGCAGAGAGTATTGCTGAACCTATTGAAGACAAAGTTGACAAAGAAAAAGCGGCACCACCACCGGCAGAAAGTAATGCTGAACTGGTGGAAGATAAAGCTGAACCCATGGAAGGTAATGCTGAACGCGTGGAAGATAAAGCTGAGCCGATGGAAGATAAAGCTGAACCCGTGGAAGGTAAAGTTGACAAAGAAGAAGCTGCATCGCCACCGGCAGGAAGTAATGCTGAACTGGTGGAAGATAAAGCTGAACCCATGGAAGGTAATGCTGAACGCGTGGAAGATAAAGCTGAACCGATGGAAGATAAAGCTGAACCCGTGGAAGGTAAAGTTGAGGAAGAAAGATTGGCAGGTCCAGAGTTTAGTGCTAAACCAATCACAGATAAGAACGATCAAGCTGTCAATGATAGTGCCATGACTGAAAATATTGACCGCACTGGGGATGTTGGTGAAGACATTAAGGAGCATGACCAGAAAGAAGTGGGCCATAGCACTTTGGATGCAGTACTCGAGCACACCACAGATAATACTCTTCCCAAGGAAAACGTAAGGACTGACAGTCAGACTGGTGTTGGCCAGTTAGAGTCAATTGACCAAGACGTGAAGAACAAGGACTCAAAGCCTGCTGCAGAGGATGTCAAGCTCACCGTTTCGGAGCCAACCAATCAGGTATCTGAGGTCAGCCCAGATTTAGGGTTTCAAGTAAGGTCTAAGTCAATTTCTACTGATTCTGTGTCAATTAATGAAAAGAATGAACTAAAGGATAATTTGAATACTAACAATGTCAATTTAGAACTGGAAGTTGTTAAGCCGGAGATGGTGCAACCATCATCCAGCGATGTCCCCAATATTAGTGGCGATTCTCACCCATTAGAAGATGACAAAGTGATGGTAGACAACCAGGCCTCTTTGGAAGAGGCTGGTGATCTTACATGTGCTACAGATATGGAACTTTGCAAGAAAATGGAGGGTGTAGATGGGGAGTCACCTGAAAAGTTGAATTTAGATAGAAGCTCAGGTGATGAGTCAATGGAAGAAGATGTACTGGAAAGTAAGCAAATTGAATCCAAGAATAATTCTGAAGAGGGGGAAAAGAAGGAAGACATCAAAGAGGATATGTCACAGGTAGCACAAGCTATTGATGCCGTGGCGGGTGGGTTTTCTCACGAGGAAAAGTTCAGGGTTTCTGAGGAAGAAATTAAACCCACAGCTGGAACAGAGAAAAGAAAAGCTGAAGGTATTGGTTCATTATGCAATATTATGTTCTTCATCTGACCAAATTTGAACTGCTTTCACGTAATTTCTGTATAATTGCAATTGATAGTTGCCAACATCTAAATAAGGAATGTTGCCTAGTTCAGCATAGAATGCAGTGATTTCCACACATTTTACTCTTGTTTTCTTTTCTTTTCCCCCCATTTATTCATTTCAACATGGTAAACTTTTGCTTACCCTTCTATCTACTGCAAGTTCCAGTTTTTATGTCTTCTTACTGGTGTAGAGACATTGGTAATTTGAACTTTTGAGCAATTTGCTTTTAATTTTTCATTCATTTTCCTCACTGATGCTCAGAGACATTATCTCTCAAGGTTAAGATTCACTGGTGCTTTGTTTTATATGGCATAAATAAATGCTTATTTAGTTAAATAAATCCTTCAGCAGTGGGCATGTCTTTTTCTCTCTGTTGTCTTTGATTATGTAACAGTCCTTGCTATTCCCCTTTTTAAAGAAATTCACTTATATAACTGATCAAATATTGTGACCTCTAAAGGTCTTGTGTCTAAGAGGCAGCAACAAAAAAGCATTTATCCCAGGTTTTTGGCTTGATGACATTGAATTTTCCTCTATCGTTCAGTTCCATTGAATCTTCTCAGGTTTAACTTGAGTATATCTAATATCATATTCTTCTTCATGTGTTGTTTTCTTGGGCCTGTATTACTTCTCATTGCTCTGTTATTTATAGTACCTTCTCTTCTGATTGGCACACTTATTGGGGGTGTCAGAACCATTTGAGGGATTCTTCATCAGTTTATCCTTACTAGGAGCAACCAATGATAAACTGCTTATACTGTGGTTTTGGCTTGCAGACGTTGAATTCTTTTCTTCCATCGAGGGTCATATCACAATTAAGTTGATCAAATCCAATATCATATCCTTCTTAATTGACTCCATCCAGGTTCACTTAGGGCCTTCCATTACTCATTGCACTGTTGACTGTTTTACTTTCACCTCTAATACACACATGTTGGCGACAAAACAATGAGAGTGATTTTTTGGCGTTATTTCCTCTCGAAGAATGGTGTGCTTCTTCCCATAGTATTTCTTACTTTTGCATAATCCTAGTATCCACTTTAGCATTCTCATATTGTTTAGACATTTTTTCTTTATCTTCTGATTCATAAAGTTTGAAAATTGCACCATCTTTGTGGGCATATAATCGATACTAGCGGAAACAATTGATTATTGACACCTTCGTATTTTTGAAGTAGCATGCTAGTTTCACATTCTTACCTCTTTTAGTTGTATTCTTGTCTAATCCTTAATTCATTTTATTTTGGATTAATCACAAGATACCTTGAGATATGGTGTAATTACACCGGTGATCCCGGAGTTTGGGTATCAACAAGGGTAACCCTAAGGTTACTAATTGTATTTACACAGGTAACCTGGGGAGTTGCTTGTTGTTCGGGCTCCAGGATCACACTAGTGATTGCAATTACAAACCCAGGATCACCCATGTGGATACACGGACTCAGGGTCACCATGTAGTTACACCTTGGTACTGAAATGTAATTGATCCTTTTTTAATTGATCCCTAAGTCGCCATATGCACTTGTCAGATGCATGCTATTTAGCATATGCATGTGCCTAAGAGGTTTTACTTTCTGCCTTATTTATCTTGTTTCATTGTTTTTCCTCATCATTTGAAGGGTGGGTGAAAAATGGGGCTTCCCGGTGAGATTTTCCCTACTGGAATGACTAGAGGACCTGTCATAGCTTTAACCTTATTCCTTAGTCTCATTTGAGATCATTCTTCTTCATGGGAAACCATGTTTGCTGAGAATTATCTCCCCTAGTAGGCTAGTTCTCACTTACATGCTTTTCCAATTTTTAACCCCTCAAGATCCCAATTATTAAAAAATTTCTTGCTACATTCTGGACTGTTTAAGAAACACGTGAAGCATATATTTGTTGTGTTTTTCACATGAAAAAGTCTTATTTTCTATTGTGACTCTGAAGAAGTTAGCTGATGAGAATGGAACTAGTTCCTTATGCCATGGTGATGGTCAGTCGGTGAGAGCTTTTAAAAGCTATTTTTACTAAGCATCTAACTTCCTTGCACTCATAAGCTCTACAAGGGCACTAGTCTCAGTTAAGACTCTTTTAATATTTTCTACATCATGGTTTTGTCATGGTCTTATTCATCATTTCACCTTTAGCGCTTTATTCATTATTATATGCTGATGGTTGTAAGAATTACTTTCAATAGTGCAAGAGAATACTTCTTCTTATTCATCATTTCACCTTTAGCACTTTATTCATTATTATATGCTGATGATTGTAAGAATTACTTTCAATAGCGCAAGAGAATACTTCTTTGTCATCTGCGTCTTAAATTCATTATGCAACATGCATATTCTTGTTTGAAGGAGCAAAGGAAAATATGTAGTTGCCTAGTAGTTGGATGGTACAGATTGTTAAGTTCTTTAACACGTAATAAGGATTGCTTTTCCATCTGCATCTTAAAATCATTATGCATATTCCTTTTTGAAGGAATATAGAAAATATGTCCGTCAACCAGTGGTTGGATGACACACTGTTAAGTTCATTATCTCGTAGCAAGGATTATAGTTATGTTACGGATTGCTAAAATTGCTCAATATGTTTAGGGTTGCCCAAGTTTGAGATTTGGGAGTAATACATGCGGCAGGAGAAATATAGATGGGTGCTAGTAGTGATTAAGTGGTTAATATGTTGATTGTTGTAATTGGGAAAATTTGTGAAAGCATTCATGGGCCTTGGTTAAATTTGAAGGTGAACGCACAGAGGGAAGTCTTGGGCTGTAGGATTTGTGTATGATGTGTGCAGTACTCGTCAAGAATGTCTGCGTTTTGTATCTGCAAGGAATTAGGAGCACCAAAGCTACTCCTTTAGGCCTTTTTCTGCTTAAAGAGCACAGTTATCATAGTTACGCATTTTCGGTGGAAATAAGATAGTAATATCGTACCTCAGCAACGTCAGACTAATACAACCTTTTGATGTGGAATTAGAACTACGCATTTCTACCAAATTAGGGTTGTAGTTGCATGGATATTTCTATAAATACCCATAGAACAATCAACCTCCTAAATCATTACTTTTTACTGTTGAGCAAGTGTATACTGGAGCTAGTCTTAACCCCCGCCTAGCCTCCATTGCCAAACTCACCCTTGTTGTGTGTGCAAAAACTCATCCTATTAGCTCAGCACATTTCCTATTGAAATTAATGGATAAAAGTATTTGGATGTTTCACTGTACCCTTGGTTATTGGTAGTGTATGTCTAATGTGTTTCATGTGCATTGCAGGGTTGCATACCATCATCTAGAAATGATCTTTACATTTGATTAGAATAAGAAAAATATTGGTGTTTGCGACTCATGCCTGTTGTGAAACATGTAGAGACCTTTTAGCTTTAAGGCATGCGCCTGGCGTTGACGAGGTTGTCCTTTACTTACATCTTTCAAGTATTGCAAAAGATCTCTGTAAAAATGCCTGTTGGCTGCAGCAAGATAAATAAGAATTGCTTAAAAAGCTTCAGTGTATACTCTTCTTGCTGGCAAAGCTTGAACTTGAACGGCGAATTCTGTTTAAAGAATACTATTCAAATCACTATCTTTGCTGCTAGTTCACCTTTATGTCAGTGAACATTTATAAGTGTTATTTTTCCAGCATAAACTTGTTAGAGGTGTACAACGTTTGAATGAACACAATGTCAGAAGTGTGTCACTGAAAAGAAGTATTTTGTTCATAGTTGGTGAGTTTCTGATTGAACCTCCATAGAATTATTGATGGATTTTTCTTAGTTAGAAGTATGATGAAGTGAATTTTTTGAATTGGAGCTAACTAATAAATATGGCATTGAAATTCTAATAATTTAAATGAAAAGTTCACTACTATCATGATGATCATAAAATAAGAGTATTTTAAAATATTTGATATTTTTTTAAAACTGATAATTAATCTGGTGTTTCTTCAAAGTATTTTTTAGGGAGTCATTTCAGTTTCATTACATCGTTTCATTTAAAATGCAATCTATTTTTATGATAAATTCTATTTCTGACACTGGTAGCCATAGGTGAGTGTAAAAATATATACTCTTTTGTTCTTTATACTACTAAATTCAGGCTGAATTAGTGAAACTACTTAACTGTATGGTGTTTTGATATGCGCACAGCCCAAGAAGCAGTTAGTACAAATAATGAGCCAAAGCGGCAACGTCGCTGGACTTCAGATACTGCTAAGGCTCCTGAACTGCAAACATCTTATGTAACTACCAGTACACCAAAAGATGTTTTTCAGCCAGCACTTAGAAAATCATTCTCAAGATCCGACTCCTCACTCAGTGCTGATATGCCAAAGGAGCGAATTGGTAATCTGCGGAGATTTAAGATTTCTGTTTCTTTCTCATTTTTATTTTTTCATCTTTAAATAACACTATGGGCCTTTTGTATATTGATGCTGCAGTTCCACCATCTCAGAAGCCAGCTACCACGTCCTTGAGGATTGATCATTTCTTGCGTCCTTTTACTTTGAAAGCGGTGCAGGAGCTGCTGGCAAAAACAGGAACTGTTGTTGATTTCTGGATGGATCAGATCAAGACTCACTGCTACGTCACTGTATGATCTTTTCTTCGTCTGGATTAATAAACTGTGCTTGTATGTTCATGCTTTATGATACACATGATCTCTCATCTCCACGATAGTCAATATCTCAACCTATATCACAGAAACTCAGTGAATATGGAGACAAAACTCGTCAGCATTCCATTGTTTTCTGACTAGTTATTACTATTGAAGTTCAAGACCTTATGAGATGTCAAGTTGGGGATCAGTTTGATTTCAATGTGGCGCACACAGTTTACTAGATTTCAAGTCCTTTTAAAATTCTTTGGGAAATAGTCTAAATTGTATGCACTTAATTGAGAGCTTATAATATGAAAGTTTTGTTGAATGGTATTCAAAGTTCCATAACTCAACAAAATATTAGCAGTCCAACACCTTATATTTTTCTTCTTTATTGCATAGTAATTTTAACTTTATCTGCTTAAAGGGTTTGCATTCTTCTCATTATACAAATAATATGTATGCAGAATATGCTTTTAGTGAATATAATGGTTGCAAGACTTAATTTCCATTATGGTCTTATACAGTATTCCTCAGTGGATGAAGCCACGGCAACTAGAAATGCGTTGTACAATCTCCAGTGGCCAACCAACGGCGGTCGTCTGCTAGTGGCTGAGTTTGTTGAACCTCAAGAGGTAAAGACGCGACTTGAAGCCCCTCCACAAACTCCAGCTCCCATGAAACCTAGTCCTACAACTCCAACTGCTGCTCCCTTTCAACGCCAAGCTCAGGCTCCGGTACCTTCTCGCCCTAACAACCTCACACTCTCTAATCCTCCTCCAGCGAGGGAAAGACTTCCACCTCCCCCACCTCTACCAAAGAAGCCAGAGCCACCCATTATGACATTAGATGATCTCTTTAAGAAGACGAAAGCCACGCCAAGGATCTATTACTTGCCTTTGTCTGAGGAGCAGGTTGCCGCCAAGCTTCAGGCAGAACAAGGCAAGTGATGGGGAGCTGTTTTACTCTGGGAAGTAGGGTGCAGGTTATATGAAACTAGAAGAGTACTTCAGTTGTTTGTGGACTTTGTGTTGAGTTTTAGCTGCAGCAGTTGGCCAGACAAGTTTTTGCAGAGTGATGCAAGGCTTTTTACCTTAGGTTTCTATTTGAGGCGGTTATTATGTTTCAAATTTGATCGTCTTTAAGTACTCGGTTAGACGATAGTATTCTTATCTGAATGAAAGAGTCTGTTTTCTCCTAATTCGACTGTCGGTCTGATGTAATGTGTTGTTATGGTTCTATGTTGCTAAAAAAACCGTTGCAGTCTTTAGTCATTGGAATGGTTCAATAAACACTTGCCCTTCATGAGGTCAACCGGATCCTGCGGATACCGATTATTGTTATGGTTTTGCGTGTGATCTTTCTGGGCTGGTTCTCTAGCTCAGCGGCGCGAGTAGTCTTCTGTAGTTGCACGAGTTCGTTCCTGTTGTAGAAGCATAAGAAGGGTGCCCGTTTGGCAAAGGGTTAATGAAGAAGGGTTAAAGAAAAAGATTAATGTACTTAGCCCATTTGATAATCCGAAGGACTAAATTATTAACCCGTTAAATAAGTTTTATTTTAGCCCTTATGATCAGTTTTAGTGTTTGGGAATAACAATGATTTTGACTATTTTCTTTATAATTAGAAATGTTAACTCTTATTCCATCTAAATAGGAGTATTAGTAAACCCCTCATTTTGAGGGGTTAACTTAACCCTTCTATATTTTTTATGTTTAACAAATTATGGAGGGTTAACTCACTTTAACCCTTATATAGATTTGTTGCCTTCTATATTTTTTATGTTTAACAAATTATGGAGGGTTAACTCACTTTAACCCTTATATAGATTTGTTGTGTTTGGCAGGTTAAGAAGGGGTTATATAGATTTGTTGTGTTTGGCAGGTTAAGAAGGGGTTAAGTCTCCTTAACCCCTCACTTAACCATTGCCAAACAGTACCTTAGGGTTTATAGACAGGCAAGGCAAGGGTTTTGTATTATACATTTATTTAATTAGCCAATCGCTTCGGTACTCTAAAAATTAAAATTGATTTCTAGAGTATCGATGGCGTTATGGGAAATAAGTCCCATGAATATCCCGGAAAAATTCAAGTTATGAGAGTTCCGCTGTCGCAGTCGTATTCTAGAGTTTAACTTTGAGGGTTAAGAATAGAAGCTTTTATTGCTCACCATTTCCTTCAACCCCATGTCATCGCCATCTGATTACTCTTTGATCATTAGCAACTCTGCCCTCTAATTGCTCTTTTATTGCATATTTTGTTCTTGGTAGTGAGATGACACATCCCCTCCGCTCATTCAAATGGTTGCATATCCTCATGCACTCATCATATTTTATGCTTGGTAGTGATGCGACATATCCCCTCCACTCATTCAAATGGTTACGTATTTTATTACATATCTTGTGCTTGGTAGTGAGGTGACACATCTCCTCTACTCATTCAAATAGGGAACTACATTCACATGGGTTGAGGAGTGCATGAGGATATGCAACCATTTGAATGAGTGGAGGGGATGTGACACCGCACTACCAAACATAATTTTTTGTGCTTGGTTCCAATCTCCTCAATATAAAATAAGCAATATATATATATATATATATATATTATATATATATATATATATATATATATATATATATATATATATATATATATATAGAAGAGAGAGAAGAGAGAGAGAGAGAGAGATGGTATGCTTGGTAACCAAGCACAAAAAGTTATGCTTGAGTTAAGGTGTCACATCCCCTCCACTCATTCAAATTTGGGACTACATTCACATGGTGTAGGGAGTGGATAGGGATGTGACACATCACTACCAAACAACAAATATTTGGCTGTGGTACCAAGCATACCCATATTCTCATGGACAAATTTCAAAACCAACCGTTTTTGGATTTTATTTGTAAAAGCGACACTTTTGAAAATAATTACAAAAACCGACCTGTTTTCAGCCCAGCGCTGAAACAGGTCGGTTTTTGTAAAAAATTTCCGAAACATCACGGGAGTTCAACTCCGTGAAGTTTATGGGGAAATTAAACTTCACGGGAGTTGAACTCGCCGTGAAGCTTAATTTGTGCTTAAAACTCCACGGGAGTTGAACTCCTATGGAGTTACAGTCCAACATTCCCAGAGAGTCGATCTCTGGAATTTTGGACTGGCAACTTCACGGGAGTTGAACTCCCGTGAAGTTGCAGTCAAAAATTCCCAGAGAATCGACTCTCTGAGAATTTTCGACTATAACTCCACGGGAAGTTGCAACTGGCCGTGGAGTTTTGGCTCCCCTATAAAGCCGCGCTGGCACAGCAAACCCTATTCTTTCGTTCGAAACCCACTCCTTCGTTCCCGTTAGCCGCCGCCCCTGTGCCGTCGCCACCGCAGCTAGGATCCGCCGCCGTCCTAGCCTCCGACCGCCGACGCCGACCCAGCCTCGGACCGCCGCCGTCAGATCTCAGATCTGAGTCAAAAAATCCAAAAAAAAGGTAAATTCTTCCTAAAAAAACTATACTCTCTAATTTTTGTATACTCTCACTATTTGATTGTGATTATATGTAAAAATCTAGATTTTAAAATTTAATTTTGAGTTATTTTTGAATTTTGTGAAGAAATCTGAAAATTAGAAGGGAAATTATCAATAAATGTGAAATTTAGTGTGAAAATTATCAATAAATATAAAAATTATCAATAAATGTGAAAATTAGAGGGGAAATTATTAAATGGGAAATTATCAATAATTTTGTGAAATTTGTGAAGAATTAGTGTGGAAATTATCAATAATTTTGTGAAATTAGAGGGGAATTTATCAATAATTTCGAAAATTATTGTATTTAGATTTTAGAATTTAATTGTGAATTATTTACGAATTTTGTGAAGATGTAATATTGATATTGAATTTTTCACTCTTCAGAGGTAACGATGAATGATTGAATTGTAATTCTCTGTTCTTATGATGGGAAGATTAATTACCTTGAAAATAATATGCCCGTTTATGAAGGAGGCACGACGAGGCCGTTGTTCATAACAAAATCGTGTACTTTCGATGAGTTGGTTAATGAATTACACAAACTTACATTAACTAACTCACGTGAGTATCACCTCAGTGTGGTTTGCAATTATCCTGTTGTGGAGAACAGAACAAGTGGCATTCAAATATCAAGTGACTACGATATGAGTCTCATTCATGTCTTACACGACGAGAAGCGTTCGGTTGAGTTGTTCATTGAAAAACATCAGAGAGATTTGGGCAAATCGTTGAACTACGAAGGAATGTATTCCCGCATGTTGGAGGATCCTGAAGTTGATTCTGTAGGCTTTTTATCTCCTCAACAAGATGAATGTTGGACACAATCACAATACATGAGCGGTCCTTCGTTCGTGGGCACTTCGAATGCTTTCGATACTAACACGGGAATTCAAGAAGATAATGCAAGTGTTGAATCCGAGAATGATGATGAAGAGGAGGGATTAATTAATGGGGAAAACCAACACATCGATGGGGCTTATGTTAATAATGAGTATGTCGGCTTAGAGGATCCGCCGCCCGATGAACTTCAAGGAGATGAATGGATTGATAACTCCGCGATGGAAAGTGTTCCTATTGGCACTAATAGCGGTGTTGATACACAGGCCGAGGACTTCTCATTCATCAAGGGAGATCTTTACGAGAGTAAGGAGAAATTGATCCATGCTATTCGCACGTATTCCATTGCAAAAAATGTGAAGTTCAGGCCTACCAAAAATAATACTACAAGCTATAATGTGGTTTGTTTCTATCGCAAAGATGACGATGTCGAAGATAATAGTGGACACCACGACGGCAATGCGAGGTGTCCGTGGAAGCTTAATTCACGCTCGGGTTCAAGAGTAGGTGGGCAATTCAAAATCACGGCATACAATGGACTCCACACTTGTAGCAATCCTCGATTAGAGATGAATAACAAGAATGCGTCCTCTTCTTTTATATATCGATTGATTTTACCGCATCTGAGGGAGGATCTTGATCTAAGGCCGAAAGATATCCGTCTTTTAGTGCATAAAGCCACCAACTTGGATGTATCATATCACAAGTGTTGGAATGCTAGGAGGAAGGCGATGATAAAAATATTCGGGGATTGGGATAAATCGTATGAGATCTTACCTCATTATCTTGAAGCACTCAAAAGAGAAAATCCGGGGACTGTCTACGAAGTATCTTCGGACCCCGTTGATGGCGGAGAACGGCGGTTCACCGGTGTATTTTGGGCATTTGGGCCCTGTATTGAGGGGTTTCGTCATTGCCGTCCTCTTCTTAGCATTGATGGAACTCACTTATATGGTAAATACAAAGGCGTTTTGCTTGTTGCAACCGGAGTTGACGCGGATGGCGGGTTGTTTCCTTTAGCATTCGCAGTGGTTGATGTTGAAAATACAGAGAATTGGGCTTGGTTTTTTGCATGCATTAGATATCATATCCCTAGTGTGGGGACGCGGCCGATTACATTCATATCCGATAGGATGAAAGGAATTCCAAGAGCACTCCAACGACATTTCCCGCCACCACATGCACATCGCTATTGCTTGCGACATATTAGAGACAACTTCAAGAAGAAGTATGGAAACGCTCAGGTTCAAGACTTACTTTGGCAAGCCGGTTGTGCAACAGAAAAATATGTTTATGAACAAATACGAGAGAGGATCAAGTTCACTTCACGAGCCGCACATGATTGGATCGAAACTAGTTTGGGTCCAAACAATGTTGATAAGTGGGCTTTATGTGAGGATGGCGGTCGACGGTTCTGTATGATGACTACGAACGCGTCTGAGAGCTTCAATGGCGTGCTCAAGGGAGCACGCGGCATGCCAATACAGGCACTAGTTGCTAAAACTTTTTACAGGCTTAATAAATTCTTTGTTCGACGTCGAGAACTTGGTGAAAATATGCGCTCCCAGCTAACACCGAAGGTTGATGAAATGCTAGCGGCTCCGGTTGTACAAGCTCGGTCATTTCAGGTTGTACGATACAGTTTTAATGAATGGGAGGTGCTCGAGGGAATAACCCATAGAGAAAATCGCTCTTACAAAGTCAATATGTTGGTGGATCGCACTTGTACGTGCACTTGCAATGTACCGCAACTACAATTGATTCCTTGTTCACATGTTGTAGCAGCTTGCTCCGACCTACAGGGTGGTGCTCGCATTTCACATTATGAATTTGTCGACGCTTGGTATTCTGCATACAACTATCAACAAACCTATAAAGAGTGTTTTCGTCCACCATACGATAGTTGACATTGGACACAAGATGGGCCACGGATATTACCTCCACTGTATAAAAGATCGGCGGGGCGCCCTCATTCCGTGCGTATTAGAAATAGTATGGATGACGGACGTGAAGGAGCTAGGAGGAGAAATAAGTGCAGTAGATGTGATCAACCGGGTCACAACAAAAATAGGTGTCCAGTTAGTATTAGGCGTTGATTTGTATTATGTATCGTTTTGCACTATGTCATTCGTAGTTGTTATCTTTGAAGCGTATGATACTCGTTATTTGTAATATGTTCTGTATGCAACTCCGTTCATTTCACCCATGCATTTGTATTATGTAGCGTTTTGCACTATGTCCGAACCAATTTGTAATATGCTATGTATGATACTGTGTTCATTGCACTTTGTATATATGCTCATATTTTAATCACAGGTCTATTCATTATGGATCCGGGACCGGAGAATCCCGACGTTTTGTACCTTCAGGCGAGTCATTGTTCAGACCATATTGGTTCGGGAGAGGTAATACGAATAAATTAGATATATATTTCTTCGATTAATGTAATTTTTTAATGAATATACTTAAAACTGATTCTCGTTTTATGTGCAGCCCGTACCAGAGTACACGATGATCGAGCATTCCCATAGTCATTCGGCATGGGTCATAGAGGATGAGAGGGTACTAGCTTTGATCGCTCAGGCCGGTTTTCGACCGTGTTCGACGATTCGTTATATCAGGCTTGATTGGCCGCTTATCACTGCTTTGATTGAGAGGTGGAGGCCAGAGACCAACACCTTTCACATGCATATAGGGGAGTGCACGATCACTTTACAGGACGTGACCGTCATACTTGGGCTCCGGATTGATGGACCGGTAGTTACGGGCACCGACGATCATAGTTGGCCGGAGGTATGTGCCCGACTACTTGGACAGGTTCCCGATTTGAGGAGTGGTGCGATGAAGCTATCGTGGCTTCGTCAGACATTTTAGGGCGACATACCAGAGGATGCCTCTGATGAGACGCTCCAGTTTCATGCTCGTGCATACATATTGCACATGATAGGGTGCGTACTATTTCCTGATGCGAGCAAGACTCTGGTACATGCACGATGGCTGCTACTGCTGGAGGATTTTGGTGTATGCGGCGCACTATCGTGGGGCAGTGCGGTGTTGGCATATTTGTATCGAGAATTGAGTAGAGTATCTCTGATGCAGAATAAAGAATTCAAGGGATGCTGTACGTTGATACAGATTTGGTCATGGGAGCGCATTCATATTGGACGACCCACTTTACTTATGCACCGTGACTTAGAGGGGCAGTATCCGTTGGCATACAGGTATAATTGTACACACACATATTTCATTCGTAACCTGAATATTTGTACTTATATATTCGCTATTCTGCATATAGGTATAACGTGCGATACGCTCAGTACAAATCAGCGACGCGTCACCGTCAGTTTTACCGAAATGAGCTTGATGGCCTCCAGCATGAACAGGTAAATATAAAACTCAAGAAGTATGAATATTATAGTTTTTCTGTATGATAAAGATAAATGTTTTACTTTATTTCAGTTCAAGTGGAGACCCTATACACCGCCGGAGCTCGATATACATTCTCTTGCACCTATCTGCCGAGATAGTCCCGACTTGTGGAGAGCCAGAGTTCCATTGATCTGTTGGGAGATCGTAGAGATGCATGTACCGGACCGTGTGCTACGGCAGTTTACACTCTCTCAGCATATTCCAGATCCTGTCGAGCAGATCAATCGTCGGCGGCGCCCTACATCGCACCGGACTGACTGGGCCGTAGTCCGTGCGGCCTACATAGACAGGTGGGTTCAGAGGTGGGATTGCTTACAGGATACGAGGCCCACAGCTGTTGACTATACCACGTATATGCGTTGGTATTGGGGTATCACACGTAGATGGATCACGCGTGACCCACAGCCTTTAGCTGGACACATGCCACGCCCACCGACAGATAGTTACATCCCTAGTGGGATGAACGAGAGAGATTACGTAAGTTTCTAAGCTAAATTATAATATTTTTTATTGAGTTGATACTTAATAAATTGTTTACCACGCAGGTCCGTGTTTTAGATAGCATTGATGCTGATATTGATGCGCACGTGACTGAGATTCAGGATCAGGTGGCGTTAGGTCTCCTCAGCAGGATCAAGAAGAGCATAGCGCAGGTGTTCCATAAGACTCACGTCGACGAGTTCGCAGGCCGTGAGGACAGGTCTCGCTCATTTGGACGGGCGTACGCTCGACGTCGACGGCCGCGTGATGATGACGCCGGCACTTCGCATGCCGATGGAGCCGGCACTTCGCATGCCGATATCATGTATATATTGTTGTTTGCAAATAAATTGGCATATATATGAGTTATAATTCATTGTTGAATCATGTATATATTGTTGTTTGCAAATAAATTGACATATATATGATTTACAGGTAAATATACAAAACCTGCACAACAGCTGTGCATGCTGGGTGACCTGCAACTTCACGGGATTTCAAGTTGCAGTGCCAAATTTCCAGAGACTCGATCTTTGGCAAATTGTGGACTGCAACTTCACGGGACTTGAAATCCCGTGAAGTTGCAGTCACAATTTGCCAGAGACTCGATTCTCTGAAATTGCTGACTGCAACTCCACGGGAGTTCAACTCCCGTGGAGTTTTAAGCACAAATTAAGCTTCACGGGAGTTGAACTCCCGTGAAGTTTAATTTCTCCATAAACTTCACGGGAGTTGAACTCCCGTGATGTTTCGGAGATTTTTTTACAAAAACCGACCTGTTTTCAGCGCTGGGCTGAAAACAGGTCGGTTTTTGCAATTATTATGAAAAGGGGTCGGTTTTTACAATTAAATGTCTAAAAGGGTTGGTTTTGAAAATTTGTCCTATTTCTCATATATATATATATATATATATATATACACACACACACACACACACGGGGTGAAAGTGATTGGATCAACAAAACCCAGAAAGATTTCTTTCACCCTTTTACCCCTGCAAAGATACAACTTATAATGAAGCTCTTAATTAAATCAAATCTTGAATCCAAAATTACAAAAGTTCTTAAAAAAAGTGTATCTTAAAAGAATAGAAATTTCCTTACCCTACACGGATCGTGAGCGTGACACTCTTCAAAATGGTTCTCTAAATCACCAGTTATCTTTTGCAGATGTGTATGTACAGAGATTGTCTGTATCATGTAACTGCGCTAGTCTGTCCCACTTGTAGAAGAATCAGATGTACGTCTTGAACAAAGTTAATCTGGTGAAGTAATTTCTATGTTTGCGTTACAAACACAACCTTGCACCTTAGTTTTTTGTCTCAACTTCACCATCTTCTGCTAACCCTGTGGTTACTCATATAACATGGTGCAGTGTAATAAGGCCGTCTCTTGTCTGACTTCAAAAGATGCAAGTCACACTGGATAGATGCCAACTCCCACAAACAGGCTGATCATGCATACTTGTTAGAGTTCAGATACTCTCTCGGCAGTCACAGTAATGGATCTTTGAATTGGATCTTACATGTAAGCTGATAACAAAGCATTGGAACTGTTGGGGGGTCAGTATAAAGGCAGATCCCCGCTCCCCCCCCCCCCCCCCCCCACTGCATGTTGAAATGCGAGCTCTTTATTGATTTTATATATCAATGTCCTGAGATGAACATCTCCAGCACTGACAAAACGTAATATATCGGCTCTCGAATATCCTCTTTTATTTCAGAGATTTAACAGGTTTCCCCTGCTTACTTTCCATTGCACAATCAACCAGTTGTTAGCAAATGTATATTATTATGGTAGAACTAATTCGGAAAGGGAAAGTTGGTAAGATGTCGAATTACAACAGGAATGACGAACATCTTGTTTCGATGGGGGTGCATGGTGTAGAGGGTAAGGGAGGTGAAAAGTTCATCCCATTTGGGAGTTGTTTTAAGAGGGACTGGAGGGGAAGAGGTGTGAAAAATTTCATCTCAATTAACCTCCAATCTGTCTGACCAATGGATGTGAAAAGTTTTGAACCATTATGATATTAATCCAACGGCTAATATTAGCTCAAACCTAAATTCCTCTCCATTTCCTTTGCTAAACTCCGAAACATGATATCCTTCCCTTTGTTTCACTTCCCTTCCCCATTTTCCTTCCCCATTTTCTCTTCCCTTCTTTTCCCTTCATCTCTGATAGTAAACTCTCAAACGTAGTGTAAGTTTAAATCTGGCGAAATGTCAAATATAAAGGAGGGCCCTCAACACTAAAGAGATGCATATCAAAAGACAATAAACAAGGTAGCTGCACAAGTATCATTTAACTATTATTTTCTCTCGAAACGACAGCCTATCGAAAACGTTTTAAATCTTTTTTTCACTATTTTACCATTCTCACATAGTGTTTTTTTAGCAGATTTCTATCTTTAGTTATCAGAAAGAAGCAGCAAACCTGAAATTTTGGCTCTAATGAGAAGAGGTCTAACGAGCAGCGACAAAAAAAAAACACCCAATTACTAAAAACAACTAATTAAACTTACATGTTTGGAAAATAAAAAATAATGTAAAATTGGAATGGAATGACCACAGAGTTGATGGCATAAACATGTAACATCCGGAAAATAAGCAACATTGCTAACTGATATCTGTTACCAGATTATGAACAGACAAGAAATGCAAACGACATGATAATGACATATCGATCCTTTGAAGGTTTCAAAGGCCAGCTGGAATCTCATCGATTGCCAAATCATCTCAGGAGTAAGATGGTTCGTCCAATGAAGGAAAATTTAATTAAAATATACAATAAATTCAGTTATATGGTTCTACAAAGATCTGGAAGTAAATAAAATTTCTCTGCTATAAGGTTCAAACCTTGCAATGCCTCTATGATCTCCACAATTCTTGTGTGAGAGAAATCCCCCACCGTAAACTTCTCAGCAATGTCCTTCACTGCAATTAAGCTATGACCAGGCTCCTTCTTTACCCCACTTCCTTTCAGCAACTTCCTTGCCTCTGCGACAGCCTCCCATTTCCCATCCGAAGCATACAGATTTGATAATAGAACATAAGGTGAGCTCGAGCTTGGCTGAAGCTCCATAAGTTTCCTTGCAGCCCTTTCACCAACCAAAACATCCCTATGAATCCTGCAAGAAGAAAGCAAGCTACCCCATATAACCAAATCATTCACAAAATCAGATGTATTTACATACTCTTCAGCCTCCTCTAATCTCCCTGCTCGGCCCAAGAGATCAATCAAACAAGATAGATGCTCAATCTTGGGCAGAATCCCATAAGTTTCTTTCATGGAGTTGAAACAAGCCAGCCCTTCGTCCACTAACCCAGCATGACTACAAGCTTTAAGAAGCCCAATGAAGGTGACAGAATCCGGTGTCACTCCGTTATCCTTCATCTTCTCAAAGATGTCAATGGCTTTCCTCCCAAGGCCATGATTTGCAAGTGCAACTATCATCGTGTTCCATGAAACCAGGTTCCTATCCTGTAAAGAATGAAATACCAAAATCGCACGCCGAATCGAGCCACACTTGGCGTACATGTTGATGATGGCATTACCAACTCCTACGTCGAAGGAATCCTTAGCTCTAATAAGACGGGCATGAACCTGAGCACCATAATAGATATAAGAAAGCTCAGCACAGGCAGCGAGGGCACTGGTCAGTGTGAATTCATCAGGATCCACACCAAATAAGCCTTCCATCTCTTTATAAAGTCTCAAACCCTTGGCATGCTCTTCACAGTGAGAACAGGCAGCAATGTATGCATTACATGTTATCACATCTTTCTCTTTGATAGACTCAAAAGCCTTGTCGATCTCCATGATCAAGCCGCACTTTGAGTACATGGTCAATATCACGTTACCAACAAAAGCTGTGATGTCAAGCCCAAGCTTGATGGTGTGGCAATGCAGTCCCTCACCAGTCGAGAGATCCTCTGTTTTCGAGCAAATTCCAAGCACAGCGACATAAGAGAATTTATCAGCATGCAAGCCTTCTCGCTTCATAAGTTTGAAAAGCTCCAACCCCTTGCCCGGTTGCAGATTCTCTGCGAAACCCGTAATCATCGTGTTGTAAGAGATCGAGCAGGGCTCTGGCAAATTGTTGAAGATAGAGAAGGCATTGTCGAAGCAACCACATCTCATGTACATCGATATGAGGGAATTGGAGACGAAAGAAACGCCGCAGTGGCCAGTTTTCAGCGTGCTGGCGTGGACCTGTTTGCCCTGGGTGAGGGCCGAAAGGCTACCACAGGAGCTGATGACGCTAGCATATGCGTACTCGTTAGGCTGGAGTTTCATTTGTGCGAAGAGGTCGACGGCCATTGCGTGCCTGCCGGATTGATCGTAGCCGGCGATCAAAGCTGACCATGAAACGAGGTTTCTTTCGGGCATTTCAGCGAAGATTCTACGCGCGCATTCGACATTGTTGCACTTGGCGTACATGTTGGTTAAGTGGTTGCATATGAAGAGGTCACCCCCGCCTACCTTTTATGGCACCATGGGTGTAGGGAGAGGCCGCAATTGAAAGCTATTGCTGCAGTAGCCCACCCACCTTCTGGATGATCATGGCCTCTGAATGACGGCCTCATGCGTTCATAGAAATGACCATATTGTCAGGTTGGACTTTGGAGGAGGTAGAGAATGTTGTTATGTTCAACTGTCCAATAAATGCTATAAATGGAACGGTTTGGTTCCTAGAAAAGAGAGGGTGTGAGTGAGAGGTGTCCAACTCTACACTAAAGAGACGTATATTAAATAAAAGTAAGAAGGCTAAAAAATAATAATAAAAAAAATAAAAAAGAAAGAAAGAAAGAAGGAGAAAATTATATACACGCCCCCCCCCCCCCCACCCCACACCCCCCCCCCAACTTCGGACGATTGTCGAAAATCACCTCAAGTTTCAAATATCATAAACCCCACCTTAAGTTTAGGGTTATGAGAAAAAAACCCCTTAAGTTTTAGATTTTATCAGAACATCCCCAAAATTAGGTTTTTTTTGATAAAATCTCAAAGTTAACGGGTTTTCCGATAAATTTTGAAAAGCTAAAGGGGGTTCTGTGATAATCCTATACTCAAGGGGGTGTTTTTGATACTGCCCCCCCCCCCCATATTTCCACCTTAAAAGAATTAAATAAGGTAGCTGCACGGTTATCACTCAACAATTAGCTTCTCTGAGAAGTACAGCCTCATCAGAAACGTCTTAAATTTCGGCTATAACTGAGAAGAGGCCTGAAGTGAAGCCATTAATAATAATAAAATACATGCAACCACTGAAAAAAAACATAGGAATTGAAGTTGCATATCTGGATCAGTAATCTAAGATTTGGGACAGCATGCATGCATGACCACAGAGAAGATGGTAGGAAAACGCTGTAACATCTGTAGAATGAACACCATTGCTAACTGACCTCCCCTTACCAGAGGCTAAATAGAAATAATAAGCAAACAAACATCAGGAGAACCCTAGGGGTTCTGTGAGGATTCAAATGGTCAGGCCAGAATCTCTGAACTTAGCCTCCGTGATCTCGTCCAATCGCTGAACCATCTCAGGAGTGAGATGGTTCATCCAACCCCCAACAGTGCCATGACCAAATAGAATGTTGTTGTTCAATGCTCCATGGGCCATTTCAGTTGTACCAACCTTGTTGACCACCAAAGTGCTCAAGTTCTTGAAGTCACACAGCTGAAGTATGCTCTCTACCCCCTCCCTCCTTTTCTTCATAGGCTGTGAAGGGGCGTCCGATGGACTCAGCCAACCTCTTCAACTCAGCAATCGGATCATGCATGATCTCTTCGTATCTCATGAACAAAGTTTTGTACTTGTCGATTTCCAGGCTAGCTTTCCAATATCTGAGCACGTGATCCCAGTAAGGCCCGAAAAAAGTAAGCCCGTTACAGAACCGGTTAAAGTCCACTTCAAGTGGCTGGGGCTCTCTTCCAGAGCTCAGACTAACCTTGTTAACAAAGTGCCGCAGTGAGATAAACATATCCTTGGCACTGTTGGGGAATTTAGTCTCCCCGCCTACTACAATCTACGTAACTTGGAAGGCAACCCACAATCAACAAGATATAAAATATCCACAATCAAGAAGAAAGAACACCGAGATTTATGTGGTTCGGTCGACCAACTTCGACCTACGTCCACGGGCAACAATACGAGAAATCCACTATGTATCAGAGAGAACTACAAGAGGAACCACTCAACCTACGTCCACGGGCAACAATACGAGAAATCCACTATGTATCAGAGAGAACTACAAGAGGAACCACTCAACTCTCGTCTCTCACTATGTATCAGAGAGAACTACAAGAGGAACCACTCAACTCTCGTCTCTCAATCTCTCAACCTCACATTCATAATCAACTCTCATATTCTCTCTAAAGCCCTCTCCTTATAATCTTTTGAACTGACAAAGACTCCGAATCCTCTCCCAATGATGTAATCTTTTATACAGACAAAGACTATGAAACTCTCACCTCTCACACAATATTCCTGAATCAGGATACGCCCCCTGCTAACCCTATATTTTAAGAATATTGGCTCTCTCTCATCTGCTTGATATTTCTTCCAACAATAAAAGAATATATATAGGAAAACCAAAACCTCATCTGTAGCCTAACTTCCTAATTAGAATAGGATTCAAACTCTTAATCATGATGAAACTCAATCTCCTAATCATGATAGATCTCTAATCCTATCTAATTTTCATGAAGTTATACAAAGATTCAAAGACACAATCCTATCAGGAACTACGACACAAATAGACAATTCGGCAACCAGACTCAACGATGGACCTCGGTAGCGAATGTAGCGGGATGTGAGTAGAGAAAAACCTCGGATATGGGAAGGAGCCTAGCTGTGTCACGCAATCTTTTGCGTAAAATTGGTTTTCAAGGAACGAAACGCATTGGTGGGGGTTCAGCGTGGAAAAGAGGCGGAGAGGATCAGAATTCGTGTCGCGGCGATTGACAGTGGCAAAGAGGAGGGCCTTCAGCCAGGTAGTTCCTGATTTTGGGAAGGTCGCAAGGACTATATGTCAGTAGGTCTGGCCTTGAACAATTCTCGGGCTGCCATGGTTCCAGTGAGGACAGGCACAGTTCCAAACCAACCATTATGGAACTAAAGTTGGCTTGAACAGCAACTGCCGAAGCTTGGAAGTGGTGCTAGAAGGTCTCTATAGCGTTGGTATGTTCTTCGATGGCTCTCTTGCTCATCGTCTTGACTGGTCGAGCCCAGGGATCTGGAGAGGAGACGGCATCACGCCATAGTAACTGAGGTATATAGCTAAGAGAAGAAAGCTGGGGGTGGGGGTGATAGAGAAATTATGGATATGGCTAGAGAAAATATTTGCAGGAATGTAATTGACAAAGTGAAGAAAAAAAAAGCTGGTGATGTGGTGATGCCTACTAGCTAGCCTGCTACAGCTGAGGATGCCTCTTCACGCATTCCACCATTTTATGGAGTGTAAACACCTTTGGGACTTAGTTTTCCAACAGACTCACTCACTCTCCTGCCTCGTTCTTAATTATTACTTGCCTGCTACTTCGTTCAGATTTGTCCCCCGTGTATACTAACAAGTTAAAACGAAAAAAACATGCAAAAGGTTTTACATATCTGATGCCACTTTAGTTTGTGGAACAGATTTTTTTTTACTATTATTCAAAACTATTTGAATCGAACGTATGGACAAGTTGAAGTATTCTTTCAACTTGTTAAATATCAAGGAAGAAATCGAGAGGACACATGGTGCCCTGTAACATAATTATAATTGGTCTCGTGAATTTTGGATCAGAAAAGGAAATGTTCTTTGCAAAAGGATATATGTACTACTCAAATAGATAATTCTTGTGACAGTTTCACCGACAAAATCTCGATCGGCTCTTTGCCGCAAACTTCACCAACAACATGGTATAATCACCAATAAGAGTACATCAAGAGGGTGCCGCAAACTTCACCAACAACATGGTATAATCACCATAAGAGTACATCACATCTCTTGATGTATACTTTTAAATGATGCACTGCAGGGCAACTCCAAAATGGCAGCAAACTGTAGCACATAGTATAACAAATTACATCAAATGTTCAAAATGCAAGGTGAAATGTTGAACCCTTACATAAGCGAGGAGTAAGATTCAAGGTGCAAGGCGTAAGCCCACAGAAATTACTTATAACTTAATTTAAAAATTTATAAATATTTTAAATACGTAATATACATAGTGTTATTATAACTCATAAACAGATGCATTCAGATCGTAGACGGCAAACTATTGCCACATTTCTGTGCTGAAGATCACGGCCTAAAGTAATTGTTTCTTACTAAAAAATCAGCTCATCAGCTCCATTGACTCGAAAGCCCACATAAGAGATGAACAAGGAAATTAACACATCTCAAAGAAGAGACAAGAGATTGATTGCTAGAGATGAATGTAAAATCTATAAAAAATAAACGAAACAACAACCTTCTTAGTTTTAGCTGGAACCGTTTCTTAATTTCATGAACCTGACTTGACGCATGTGCTTCAAAAGAGAAGCACTTCATGAGGAATGAAACATACACTTCACTTATGCTTCAAGTAAGGAAGTGTATGCCGCTAGAGACAGATCACTTTTATTTTGCGTTTCAAGGCAACTATCCTCAAAAGATACCTCGAGACGTGCCCTGGAGCACAACTAAAAAACCTGTTATACACTTATACATACATATATAGTACTATAAAAATAGGTGACACTCCCTTAGTTGAGTTAGATTTGTTATTAATTATAAGATTAAGAAGTTGATAGAGAGATTTTAACTTCTATCAAGTACCCATATGTTGGAAATTCAGGACTATTACTTACTTTATAATAGAACATAAATAATTTAATCTAATATTTCTTACTTTAATAATTCAACCTAAAAAATGTTTCATATAGATGTATTATTCGTATTCCTCGATTTTATGCCATATTGAAAGTCATGTTCGGCATGTACCATTGATTATTTTTCATTTGATACATACGATATACCCTCCCAATTATGTTAACCATGCTTAAGTTCATATTATTCACGTATTAGATCCCTGTCATGATTGGAGAACAAGTATGTACATTGTAATATCCCATATCAATTTTGATGGTATCCAACACAAAGGCACACCTAGTGATTACTGCAGCAGGTGATTTTAATGTAAACAGTAACTCCATGATTATAGAACTTGTAAAGTGTTTCTTTGTTCACGTATATAGGATTTTTTTTATCCACTATTGAAAGGCATAACTGAAATCATTTCAGAAAATTTTGGTGACACATGATTGGAGTTTCATTGAGACATTTATTTCTGACTCTTCTCCTTACTTCCCGTACCTTTCCATCCATTAAGGCTAGTTATATTGCTAAACTTACCGTTTAGTCAGATACGAGTGAAATATATAGAAGTATGTCCATGTACTAAACAGCATGGTACATGATTATAATTCAGAAAATTTTCACGATATTGCTCTTTGAA